AGAAAGAGGAGAGAGGAGAGGAGAGAGAGGAAAGACAGAGAGAAAGAACCAGGGCATCCTTCAGCTTTTGTAGACATCAGCCACACTCTAAGCTAGAACAGTTCAGCCAAGCCTTCCCCACATTCCTGGTCCATAGAAATGGTGGGAATAATAAAGACATTGCTTCTTACTTGAGTCTCCAAATGGTAATTTGCTACACAGAACCATGTAACTGAGACAAGCTTCATAGATGCTACTTGTGCTGTTATTTGGTGCAGTGGGAGGGTGTCACCCAGAGTATTTCCACAATACAATACAATTTTGTTTTATTCCATCAAGAATGAATCAAGTGCCTCAGAGACAGAGTCTCACTAATTGAAGCCGCAGGGCACCGATGCAGACCTCAGAAAGCCAACTTACCAACACAACAGAACTGCAAGGGGATCGGCCATCCACCCTAGAGCAGATGGTCTCCCTCAAGTAAGACCATTTACTCTAGAAAGTAGTCCTGTGTGCTGGGGCCAGGCCGGAAGAGATAGCTCAGCAGCTAAGAGCACATGCTGCCCACACACTAGACCAGAGTTCTGTTCTGAGCACTCACATCAGGGGGCTCTCAGCACTGGCCACTCTGACTTTTTTCCATCCCCAATATAAGTTAGCAGTCCTCCTGATCAGTACATCTATCACGTAGTTCAGCAGATATCGATAAGGTTTTACGGAAAAGTATATTGTAGTGGCCAAGTTATTCAAGAAACACCAGGTTCAGCAAAGTAGGACAGGGGAGAGGTCATCACTGGGCATGTTGACAGAGTGAAACATATGACCCTCCCCAGGGGGTGTGGCCATACCCCATGATCAGCAGAGAAATCGTTATATCTGCCTTATGGTCTTCAATTAATGACAGATGTCTCAGCATTGTGGAATATTATTTTAACTAGGCAAATATGTGTTACACTTTTTTATGCTTTGGGATATTACTTTAACTTTTTGTTTCTACTGCCTTTGTGAACAATGTGAAGGTGTGTTGCATTTGTTTGTGCTGTATTTGTTTAATTATGTAAAGATGTGTTGCGTTTGTTTCACCTTGCCTGCCTAAGGCACCCGATTGGCTACTAAAAAGCTGAATGGTCAGTAGCTAGGCAGGAGAAGTATTGGCAAGGCTGGCAGGCAGAGAGAATAAGTCAATGGAGAAATCTAGGCTGGAGAGAGGAGGAGGAGGCGAGGGACACGCCCAGGTCCAGAAGCCAGGCAGCGTCTAGCCAGACATGAGAAACAGGAAAGTACATACAGAAAGAAATAAAGGTAAAAAACCCCGAGGCAAAGCACAGGTAAAGAGAAACAGATTAAAATAAGAGCCAAGACAGATAAGTCCAATCATTCATAACTAATAACAAGTCTCTGTGTCATGATTTGGGAGCTGGTTGATTACCCAAAAGAAAGCCTGCTACATTTCAGATTGAAGAGATACCACTAGTCTTCTTAACTTTCTGGCTTTACCACTGCTGATTATGGAGTTCTCAGCCTCCACAGTCACACAAGATAATTTAGTCATGCATACATAACCATGCATATGTGTAGTAAGACTCTAATCCCCCGGGGTACAGCCTAAAAGACCCTAAAACATAAATATCATGTCTCCTTAGTAGTGTTCTGCTCTGAAGTCTCCCTGTGTTTCTGCAGGAGCAGTGTAATCCTGTAAGATTTCTTCTTATTGTTGTTCAAAAGCAACCCGGTTCTTGCATAACCTAAACTTCCAGAGAGAAAAACCCCTTCCTTTCTGCCCTCACTGGATACAGCCTGATGACTCAGGTCTAAGATAGTCTGGTCATTTGAAGGACACTTCCAAGACCGAGAGATGGAGTATCTTCTCACAGTAAGACCACAGTGTCCAGTCTCCCACCACACAGAAGTCCCAAGATGAGGAATTGCACTCTCTCTCATCACAGAACTCTAGCTTTCTCATGGGTGGGAGTCTCAGCCCTGTTTACCCTCTGAGAGCTGCTCTAAAAAAAGCGAGGATCTGAGTCTCTTACAAATGGAAATACCCAAAAGTACCAGTAGGTGGAGCAAATGAGTGGTACCTGCCAGCAGGAGATGTGGAAAAGGCAACCGACTCTCCAGTGGGGGTCAGGAAGACGAGAAAGGCAGGCGCTGTGGCTAACCTGAAATGCATGCCGTCTAAGGAGACAGCACATTGATGCCATTGTGAATACTGAGCTAGTATTGACCGAACATTCAATTTTCCAGAAAAGACCTGGCATCTAGGTCTATATGTCAACTGTCTCTATTTAAAAAAGGTTAATGACAATCAAACATAAAACTCGCTGCTGATTAATACTGTCTAAACCAAATCAAATAATTCTCCTCATTGGCTGCAACCCTGGGGACTTGCATGAAATGCCCCTAGTCCAATAAGCCCCATTCAGAGATTGGGGACTCTCAAAAACTGAATAGAATTCTAGAGTCAAATGTGTTCTGTGTCCTTGGAGTAGGCCAGGAGATGCTATACTGTAGGCTCCAACAACAATGTAACTCCTTGTTTAGTGTCCTTCCGTGGCTGCATTCACAGAACAACTGTGAGTGCTGTCCAGTGTATCCCCATACTATCTCACAGCTTCCTAGAAGAGGGGAGATCATAGGTAGGGCTGATATTCAAAGTGAAACACCAGTTCATCTGTGCAAGCTGTCAAATATTTCATTTCAGGACTCCATCACTGTCCAAACACCTTCCACCCAACACTCGGAAATCCAAAAGGCTCAGATAACTCAGTTCTCCCTCAGATAACCCACCCTGTGACTCACCCTATTTGAACTCAGGAACCAAATGCCCACACATACAGTCAGATGGCACATATTGGCATTTCAATAGGTAAAGACGGTGATGTCCAATGAGATTATAATGAATTTAGAAAACTCCATGGCTCATGTATCCATTTCTACTGCGTTGGTGGGACAGGGTACTTAACATAAGCGACCTAGCATAAGGAATGACATATTTAGGCTCACAGTTCAGTCCATGGGTGTTTGGCTACATGAATGTGAGCTAGATATCATGGCAACCCAAGTGTGTGGAAGAGGCGGTCCCCACCTTGTGACAGATAAGAAGCAGAGAAAAGGGGACTAGGGTCCTGATAAAATCTTCAATGGCACTCCCCAGTGACCTACCCTCAAGCTAGAACCTCCCTTTCCTAAGTTTCCAACATCTCCCCAAATAGCACCTCCACCTGGGGACCGAACATTCAGCATATGAGCTTGTTGGGAACATTTCATATTCAAACCATAATACCCAGTGACAGCATCACTGCTCTTACAGCATCACTTGTGGTTGCGGTAAAGCTGCTATAAACAATCCCACGGTGCTGTCAGTCATGTAAAAGAACTGAATATACTATTATGTTCAGAATATACTACTTGGTAAGTGCCACTCATTTGCGTATTTTTTCTATTTTTAATTATTAGAGTATACTGCTTACAAAGCAATTGACTGCGGTCGGGCAGCTATGAGGGCAATGGCTGCACATACTCTATACCAGTCTCCTCTTCTAAGTGCATCAAGAGGCCACCCTGGATGACCTATGCCATTTAGGTTTGTGTAGTTACACTATAGGATTCTCGTACAAGGACATGTCCTTACAAAGCATTCCTAGCAATGTGGTCCCCTGATTAAGTGTCACAGGACTCTAGACACTTAGTGGGTCTTGCTTTTAGCATCGAAAGTCTATCTCCATTGCTTTAGCCGTGCTAGCTTTTCTTCCTGGACCCCATCCTGCGATCCAAGATTCAAACTGACAACCCCTGGTCTAGGAGTCACATAGAAAACCCATGGTCCACTAATACAGTCCAAGACCTGTGGCCAGAAGCAAGAAAAATTAGACTTGACTTTTCCTACAGAAAGAAAAGGATTAAGACATGGCTATTAATTTCCTACACAGATGTAGCTTCGATTACCACATTTTGCTACAAGCAGCACACCACTCATTCTCCCCTCAGATGTACATTTCCCAGACTTTCTTTCTGCCTTCTGGGTTCTCCAAAGAGAAACAACATTGGAACACTGAGTGTAAAAAGATATAGAAAAGTCAAAGTATCTGTCATCCTTTCTGCACGGATTACAGCTCCTGCACTGTCCTAATTCACAGGAGATACTTCTAAACCTAGTTTCCTCTGAGAAGCTATTCTCTCTATGTTGAACTGATTCCAACCCAAGTGGCATGGGTAGGTATGTAAGCCAGGTCATGTCAATCAGAGTTCATACTCGGCACCACTCTCTGTAGAATGACCACATCACCTAATCCAAGCCGATAAGATCCACAGAATTAAACCTGTGGAATCTGTGAGCAAGAGGGACTCCATTTTGGTCAAAATTAGGGGAAGTGAACACGGCGTTGTGGAGTTCCTTCAAGAAGAGAGATTGCCTTGGAGTAGGGTCAGAGAAAAAGGTTCTGTGGAAGGTGGGCTGGGAGAACATCTCCTGATGGCAAAATTTTAATCTCACGGCTAGCTGTGTTCTGCATATTAACATGACATGTTTCTCTAAGTCTGAGTTGTCTCATTGTGGCAATTTGAATGCAATTGGTCCCCATAAGCTCACAGGCAATGGCACAACTGGGAGGTGTGGCCTTGTTGGAGGAAGTGCGTCACTGCGGGGGTGGGCTTTGAGGCCTCCTATGCTCAAGATACTGCCCAATGTCTCAGACCATTTCCTGTTGCCTGCTGGTCAAGATGTATGACTCTAAGCAGAGTTTTCCAGCACCATATCTGCCTGCACACCACCGTGTCATACCATGATAATGGACTAAACCTCTGAAAATGTGAGCCACCCCATTAAAGGTTTTTCCTTTGTTAAGAGTTGGCGTGGTCGCGGTGTCTCGTCACAGGAACAGAAATACTAACATGCTGTCCCATGTAAACAAAGGAGTTGTGAGTAACTTAGCTGTAACAAGCAAGGCATTGTGGTGGGTGGAGTGGGGTGCGGGGAGGGGGTGGAGTGAAGGGGGTGTGTCTCAAGGTGAGCAAGCTCTCTGGTAGTTCAGAGAGGAGAGAGACTGAGCTGCTGTGGGAAGAGGTCAGTGGAGAGTGGGCAGGAGAAAATGAAAACACCACAGTGACACTTGCTCTGCTTTGCTTCTGGATTAACAGGAGAAAGGAATAACCCTTATAATGAGACAGTAGAACATGTATTTTCTTACGGTTCACTAATCTGTGACAAACAAGGGAAGGAAGATCATCGCCTCTATACGTGAGTACAAATTGTTAGTTTCGTCTGAGCCATGATGAGGTATATTTAAAGGATTTCTTTTCGGCAGTATAAAAGCTTGAACTCAGAGTCTCAGGCATAAGAGGCAAGCTCCCTACCACTGAGCTACAGCCCCCAGTACTTAAAGGATTTGGAAACGATGAAGGATTGAGGGAAACTGAAAAATCACCTGCAATTTTACAAGTGGGTTTTATTATTTTTTGTCCAATGAACTGTGTGTAGTCCTTGGAAATTAAAGTTAGTTTTGGTTTTTTTTCCACAATAGAATGAGACAACATAGGGAGTGGGTTGGGGGGGGCCAGTGGGGGACATGGGAAGATGGGAGAGAGAGGGAACTGGGACATTGCTATTTAAAATAAGATTGTTTCCAAGTTAAAAAAAAACATAAAAAAGAACAAGACAACACATGCATTTAAAAGGAGCAACTTCCCCCATCATACTTCTCAAATAAAAGTGGACGATGGACATAAAAAGGGTGTGGCAGACACAATGTAAACCTTTGGCAGTCTTTCTTTTCAAAGTTCCATGGAAAAGCAGGCCTCATGGTACAGGTCAGTTAATCAGCTGGTCAGAACCAATGAGCATTTGATTAATGGTGTAATGAAATGTGTGGGGGTTATCTCTAGGGGAAAGCTGTGAGGTTCTACCCTATTTTAAATTACATATCTGTGAATATAATACTTATTGATTTTAGAATTACATAAATCTCAAAGAGATTTGCTGACAAAATTAGGATTTAAACTATTATAAGAGGCAATAGTAATTTACCTTAAAAGCAAAGGCATCATTTCTAATTAAAAAAGAAAAAGTGAGTCTTTTATTTAGGTTTAAGAAAAACTATGGGAATATAGGATGAAAAGGATATGGGCTGACTGGATTTTATTTTAGAAATTAGGTGTTTCACTCCACTGCAAAATGTAATATGACATCAGCACATGGAGGCTAGTGTGGGAAATGTACTGATGTGAAGAAAATGCCTGGGGCATTGTAGAAAAAAAAACCGGATACAAAGCAGTTTGCAGAGCCCCACCCACCCCATGACCTTCATTAACAGAAGAAAGACTGGGAAGGTGACAGCACTCAGTGGCAAGGATGCAAGTGTTCCCATTTTCTCTGGGCAGTCCATAAATGACACATTTTCTGCAAGTGCTTTCCATAATTAAAAAGTCATATTAGCTCAATATAGATCTGCAACATAACATGGCCAGTTTCAAAAACAATATGAGAGACTGCAGATATAGACTGTATGCATAGGGTTATATTTTTCATAAAAGGAATGTTGATAGGCCAACTGTGCAACTCTGTACTGGGCCAATCATATCTGGAATAATGAAATCAGCTCCGATGCTGTTCTTTAAAGCTGAACTTTGAAAATTTACATTGTATATGGGAGTGGAGGATGGGGATATCTTGAAGGCTGAAACACTGGTGAATACAGCATAAAGACAAGGCATAAAGGTGCAGGCTTGTGTCCTTTATATGACAGGTTCTCACACTGAAAGCTCAAAAGATTTGCGGCAGATCTTAGACCGCAAAGTTTTCAACACTTACTCCTTGGAGATGGTGTATGGTTGGTCCATGATCAACATAAGTTGGGCACTCTCCTATTGACAGGCCCAGGCCTAAAAGACCGGCGCCTTCACCTCTTCCAACTCGGAAAAAGCCAAGAGCTATGTCTGTGACAACACCTGGCTGTGAATCTCAAGAGCCATGCGGCAAAGCCACGTACAGACAGAGATGTCTGATTTGATGACCCAGCCAATTCAGTGACAGGTGACATCTTCCAGGGGATCCAAGTCAGAGTCACCCTGATGAACCCTTCAATCACAGAATAGTGAGAGGTAATAATACATTATTATTTTTGAGTTACTAAGTTTGGGCAAAAGACAATTGGGACACTTCTTACAGCTAGCTTGATCTTAACATAGGGAGCAGTGGTGGGCACCAAGAGATTTTGAGTGAGAGGTTGACATTATGGCTTTGTACAAGGCCTCCTACAATATAGTGTAGGATGGGTAGGAGGTGTGTCATGCCTGAGGCAAGTTCGGGGATGACATTTCAAAGCTTTGTACCCAGCTGCTGGAAACTGTTAGCTATTAAGTCAGAGCCAAGCCACAGAGATGAGCTGGCTCCATCCTGAAGGATCCCTACGATGAGTAGACAGGCGTGATGAGCAGAAATGGGAAAGCTGAGTAAAGAGCAGCGAAGGTGGTGATGGGGTGACATCCCTTGGGCGAGCGCATAAGCTACGCTAAGCAAAGCCAAGGTTGCCTATACCTTCTTCAGTTCTCTGGATTGCCTATGCCTTCTTCAGTTCTCTGGATTGCCTATGCCTTCTTCAGTTCTCTGTCCTCTGTTTACTGCTCTTCTGGTCCCACTTTCCTTTCTCTTTTGTTACACAGAAAATTTATTTTATTTTTTAAACGATCTCTTTTTTTAATTTTATATACCAATCCCAGTTCTCTCTCCCTCTCCTCCTCTCAATCTCCCCACTTTACACCCACCCAACAACCCTTCTACTCCTCAGAGAGGGTGAGACCTCCCATGGGGAGTCAACAAAGTCGGTCACATCAGGTCCTCCCCGCTGTATCTAGGCTGAACAAGGTATCCCTCCATAGTAAATGGGCTCCAAAAGGCCAGTTCATGTACAAGGGATAAATACTGGTCCCACTGCCAGTGGTCCTACTGACTGCCCAAGCCACACAACTGTCACCCACATTCAGAAGGCCTAGTTCAGTTCTGTGCAGGTTCCTCAGCTCTCAATCTGGAGCCAGTGAGCTCCTACTATCTTGGGTCAGCTGTTTCTGTGGGTTTCCCCATAATTGTCTCGACCCTGTTGCTCATATTATAGCTCGTCCCTCTCTTCGAGTGGACTCGGAGAACTCAGCCTAGTGCTTAGCTGTGGATCTCTGCATCTGTTTCCATCAGTTACTGGATAAAGGTTCTATGATGACAATTAAAGTAGTCACCACTCTCATTATAAGGGAAGGCCAGTTCAAGTACACTCTTCACTATTTCTTAGGGGTGCACACTCATACGACAAGGACATTTGCTCACCTATGTTCATAGCAGAATTATTTGTAATAGCCAGAACCTGAAAACATCCTAGATGCCCCTTCAACTGAAGAATGGATAAAGAAAATGTGGTACATTTACACAATGGAGTACTACTCAGCAGTAAGAAACAATGACATCTTGAAATTGCAGCGAAATGGATGGAACTAAAAAAATACCCATCCTGAGTGAGGCAACTCAGACCCAGAAAGACAAACACAATATATATTCACTCATAAGAGGATATTAGACATAAAGCAAAGGATAACCAGCCTACAGTCCACAACCCCAGAGACACCAGAAAAACACGGAGGACACTAAGAGAGACATACATGGATTCCCCTTGGGAAGGGAAAATAGACAAGTCCTCCTGAGTAAATTAGGAGCCTGGGGGAAGGAGGCTGAGGAAGGGGACATGGAAGGGGAGGGGGAGCAGAACTTGAGAGAATACAATGATCGAGTTGAGGGAAGAACAGAGAAGGAGAGCAAGGAAATAGATAGATACCTTGATAGAGGGAGCCACTATGGAGTTAATGAGAAATGTGGCACTATTTTCCTTTCTATTTTCTCCCTTGGGCCCTCCCTTCTCCTCTGACTCTGCTCGATATAATTCACCTGGATATTAGAGTTGTAGTTTAGGGGGCTTCTCTACTGAACACATGGATGTGAGGTTCACTGTTAAGAGTTCCAAATTAATCAGCATGAACAGAAGAACTCCACAGCATCCCAGACTTGTTATCCAAAACAGGAAAGTAGCATTCTTCCCAGTGTTTTCCCCGAGGACAGTAACTATATTTATCCACATACCCTTATGACAATCCTCCAGAAAACACCCCACATGAGTACCTCCTATTGCACTACTCTCTGTAACAAAAATCAACTGTGAAGCAGACTCTACGTCAGCTGTGGGTTGGCCAGAAACTTAATATAAGCTCGGGGGAGTGACTCATGCTTAACTTTCCCATCTGAAAAATGAGGCCTTTGGGTGGCGTAACGATGCCACACTCCATGATTTCTCCTTGGCTTAGTCACTTTGCACTGAGACCAAAATGCCTGACGGAGACAACCCAAGGAAAGAAGGGCTTATGACTTTGAGAGAGTTTAGAATTATGATTCCTTGTTCCTGTGTTCTTCAGTAGATCATCATGGGAACACATGGCAGATGACAACTGTTCACGTCATGGTGGACCTGGAAGCAGAAAGACAAATCTGGAGCCAGGAGCTGAGTATAAGCTTCCACGGCCAGCCACCTCTGGAAAACGCCTTCTGCCAGCTAAAGATATTGCACCCTCCAAAATGGCACCCCTGGCTGTGGGGCAAGCATTTCGTAAACAGTCTGGGGGGGACGCTGCAGATCCAAACCACAGCAGTCTGTAATGCTCTCTCTCAAGGTCCCTGCTGTTTCCAGCCTGCAGACCTGTACCACACAGTGGGCAATGTGTACGTGTTTCCTTGCTCTCTCGTTGTCATGTACCCCATGAGCTGGGGCTGAAGCTCTGCCCTTGTCTGCCACTGGGCTTTCAGCACCTCAGACAGCTCCCGACACAGTTAAGACACCCAATAAAGGTTCCTTTGTATCTTTTTAAAAAGCTTCTCTTTTAATCTGCCTGTCATAGTTCAGCAAGCTGGGAGTAGGGGATGAGGGGATGGCTCCATGGAAAAGGTACTTGCCATGCAAGGATGAAGACATGAGTTTGAATCCCGAGAACCCATGTACATCAGGCACAGGGGAACACATGTGTAATTCTGGAGCTCCTACATAATTATGGGAGACAGAGACTGGTATTCTTTCTCTTGCAGTCACAGACACACATGAATATGTATATCCACATTACACAAACATACATGCACACGTGAGTGCACACTGGGGCACGCACGCACACACACACACACACATACACACACACACTCAATAAATAAAATAACAGAGAAGAGGGACACAATGGAACCACAAAAGAAAGTCTTCAAATATTCAAATCTGGGGCTTGATACATATTCACAAATATCTAGGAGTAGCACAACATGGTGGATTCACCCACCAATTGGCTGTCCAATGCCAGATGGTCAGGCCTGAAAAATAAATATATATGTAGCATTATACAGAGAAAGCATATTATATTTAGGAATATATACACATATACACATGCACACACAATAACAATTCATGAAAAAGAGATGAAGAATCTGAAGGAGAGCAGGGAGGCATATATGTGAGAGCTTGAAGGGAAGAAAGGGAAGAGAGAAATGTAATTATAATCTCAAAAATAAAAAAACACTTTCACGTGGCTAATATTATCTTCCCAAGTACTGTCATTCAGTCTCTCTTGGCAGGATATCACCAAGCAGAGAAAGATCTGACAGTGTTTGTGGTTGAACAAAACATGGCAAAGTTATGACACTTGAAGCATTCCCTTGAGTGCTGGGTGTTTGTGCTCTATGAATTCATATTTAAATCACACTCTGAGTAGGGGAAAGAGCTCTACCATGTCTCCTTGAGAAAGACAGACATTTTACCCCCTAGAAAAACAACTGAGTCTCCAGCAGATGCCTGAATTCTGGGAAGGGGGGGTCAGGCTTGAGGGGGAAGGAGCTGTCAGGCTGTGCCTCTCACACTGTTGCTAAGTGTGATTCTGTTGGCTATTACAGCCTCCAGGAGCCATGTAGCTCAAGATGAAGATTTCCATATGGTGATGCAAATTAGGACCCCTCTGCAGAGGTGTCTTGAAAAGGAGCCAGTAACCTGGGGAAATGTTTTCAAGCAGCTCAAAGAAAAGAAAGTTTGGTGGGAGGGCGGAGACAGTGTGTCTTTGACTACAGGGAAGTTGCTGTGGAAGATGACACTGCTTCGTAAGCACTGCCTTTGTCCAACTGCTGCTGCAGGTGCCACCTGAACATTGGGTCACTGAGAATATGGGCCTGGGGATGCTGCTTTTAGCATTTAGCACTAGCACTAAAAGAGAAATCTCTCTCTCCCATGTGCTCTCTCTCCCTCCCTCCTTCCCTCCTTCCCTCCCTCCCTCCCTCCCTCCCTCCCTCCCTCCCTCCCTCCCTTTCTCTCTCTCTCTCTCTCTGTACTCATATATGTGCATTGTCTGTGGAGGCCAGAGGTTGACCTCAGACATCTTCTATTACTCTCAGACTACACACACACACACACACACACACACATAAAATCATATATTAGACACACACACACACACACACACACACACACACATATATATATTACATATAGTCTCTCATTGGCCTGGAACTCACCAATTTGGCAAGACAGGCAGCCAGCACACCCCAGTGAGCCTCCCTTCTCTGCTTTTCCATGCTAAGACTACAGACATGTATCACTACACTGCCTTTTCATGTAGGTGCTGGAAATCTGAACTCAGGTCCACATGCTTCTGTGGGAAGCGCTGTGCCAACTGACCTTTCTCCAACCCCTCCATTGGCTTTTGGACTCATCTGCTGTCCCTCTGAATCTTTCCCTTCACACCTCTGCCTTGCCATCTCTTCAGTGCAGCTGTGTGAGGCTCTCTTCCACACCTCTGAAGGCAAGGTGTCTCCCTGCTTCACCTGAGTTCTAACTCTCTTAGCTCTGTGGATTTAGTTCCTTTGCCTTTCTGTATTTTGATCTCCACACCCTAGGCTGGCTTTCAGTTCAAGATATTTGTGACATTTAGTTAAGAGCTCAAACATGAGGGCTTGACTTCATGGGCAGAACTTCCATGATTGACCAGCATATAACCTTGCACAAGTTAGTTTCATTTTTCAGTGTTCACATCTGGAAACAGAAAATAGTGATACTATCTCTAACCCAGAGAGACAGAGAGAGAGAGAGAGAGAGAGAGAGAGAGAGAGAGAGACAGAGAGAGAGAGAGAGAGAGAGAGAGAGAGAGAGAGAGAGAGAGAGAGAGAGAGAGAGAGAGAGAGAGAGAGAGAGAGAGAGAGAGAGAGAGAGAGAGAGAGAGTTGAGGATTTGTTGAGAATTGGGACACACAAGGCACATACAAAGCCTTGTATGCAGAAGTCACCATTGTTTTAAATATATAGCCTTGTTGTTTTCTACCTACTTAGAGAATTGATACATTAATAATATAGAAATCCTGGACACTCTCTGATGCTTTGTCTACTTAGGTATTTTCCAGGTGCTCCCAAAATGCCCTCAGTTAATCCCTACTTGTCGTGGTACCATCCTCTCTCCCAGGAGGTTGGTAAGATGTGGAGTGAGAACACAGTGCGGGCGGCAGTTTCACACTTCTATAGAAATTGTTTTCCTTTACTTTCCCCAAGAGCAAAGCACCACCTAGGGCAGGACTGAAATGAAGGCCAGCAGTTGTTTCCTTGAGGGCTGGTTGCCTGTTTGTTTTATGAGATTGGTTGTTGTCATTTTACTTTGGCTTTTTGGTGCTGCTGTCCCTCTGGCAAAGACCCATTGCCTTTCAGAATCTAGGGAGATGACAAATTTCCCATAATGTGTGCTGGCCTGGAAAAAGAGAAGTAAAGAAAAAATATACCTTTTCTTTCCTATATCTTTTCCAAGAGAGGGGAGGATGAGTCCCTTTCACAGTCTCTCCTGGAATCTCCCTGGCAATGCCAGAAGCCCCTTCACCATCTCCATCTGATGTCCTGCTGGAACCCCTGGCTGAGGCCACCTGTGCACACACACTCTTCCAGCCACAGAAGTGCAAGAGCGAAGTCCACCCCTTAAACAGATCAGCAAGGGGAGCCATAGGACTTAGTGTTCCAAGGAAAGAATGAAGCCAAAAGGAAACACAGCTAATAGTCAGGGGGACGGGAGAATACCAGGATAGGTAGGCGTAAGTGCACATGGCTGGTTGTCCATCACCAGGTGCATAGCTGGTCCTCCTTCAGGACCACTTTGCCTCTGCAACCAAATCCCTTGGGGGTTCAGAGTGCCACATCCCAGTCTCTGCTCCAGAGGTTTTCTTCCATACAGTTCTGATTAGGATGAAGGAGGTAGATACTCCTCCCAAAAAGAAGCAATGCCTAAGTGTCTTCATGAGGTGAGAAACAGTGCAGGCTCCAGGAAGAATTAATGAGTGATGCTATCCTCATGATATCAAGTTATAGACACAGGTGGCATTGTCTCTTATGGCAGGCATGCTGGGAAGCAGCTCAAACACCGTCTCATTTGAACCTTATAACCACAGCAAGATCAGAACAGATAAACAGAAGTCAAGATCAAAACACCAATGGGAATGGCAGAGTCAGAACTTGACCCAGGCTGTTTCTGCTACCGAAGTTCACTCTTAACCACTAAGAACAAAAATGACTGTGGGAATGATGTTAAGAAACCAACAGGAGGATGAGGAGGTTGCTTATTGGATAAGAGCACCCAGATTGCAACCAAGAGGACCTGAGTCTGAATCCCCAACAACCATGTAAAAAGCCACTATGGTTGTACATGCTTGCGACCCCAGCACTTGGGGCAGGGAGATAAGAAGCTCTTGAGCCTCCAGGCAGCCAGCCTGATGACCAACCATGCCCAGAGGCAATAAGGCAGAGTGATGGAGAAGAGCACCTGATGTCCTGTTCTACAAACACAGTAGTGGGTGTATGCACCCTTACACTCATGTGCATGCACTATTACACACCAGGCACAATTCTAAGCAACACACATATATACAAACATACATACATATATACATGCAAAATACATATATATACAAACATACATACATACAAACATACATACATATTATCACTAAGAGATCCACGCTATTATGTCCATCTTACAAAGATTTACAATACAGAGAGAGTAACATGTCCAAAGTCACACAGCTCTTAAAGTACCTGAGACACAAACTAAAGTCGCAATCTCCATCACCCTCTGCTTTCTATGACAACTCTATTTGGGATGACCCAAGACAACATTCTTTAGTGATTTTTTTTATTTTTGAGATTATAATATAGTTACATCATCCCATTCTTCCATTTTCTCCTTCTAAACATTTGTACACACTCACCTTGCTCTCTTTCAAACTCACTGCCTCTCTTCTCATTAATTATTGTTACATACACCACAAGATAGATAGATAGATATATGGATAGATAGATATAAATAGATATATATGGGTGGGTAGATAGAAAGATGGGTAGATGATAGATAATAGATGGTTGGGTAGATAGATAAATAGGCAGACAGACAGATAGATAGATAGAAGAAGATAGAAAGATAGATGGGTAAGCAGATAGATAGAAGTATGGGTAGATGGTAGCTAGGAGATAGATAGATAGATAGATAGATAGATAGATAGATAGACTGATAGATAAAAACAGATAGACAGACAGATGGACAGATAAACACAAGCAGCTCACTCTGTGCTGTGGTTACCTATATGTGTGTTTTCAGGGATGACTATTTGGTATTGGATAACCAATTGGTGTGCTCTTCCCTTGGGAAGACTATTTCTCCTGCTCCCAGCTTTTTGAAGTTGCCTGTAGCTCTTGGTGTATGTAGGGTTGAGGCCTCAGGAACATTGGCCAACCAACATGAACATGTCTACCCGTGTCAGCTCATGTTCAGGCAGTCGTGTTAGTGAGATTTCTGACTTGCCTGGAAGATATAGTCTCAGAGCAAACTCTGTTTCTCTGGCTCTTCCAATCTCTCCACTCCCTCTTCAGCAATGACCCCTGAGACTTAGGTGCGGGAGTCGTGTTGTTGATGTATCAGTTGCTACTGAGCATCTCATTCCTGCATTTTGATTGGTTCTCTAGATGGGAAGTGCTCTCTGGGAAGATCTGACAGAATTAAGACCCAGGCTGGCTTTCATCTAATCCAATAAATTCTTGTCATATTATTATTTGTTTGATAGACAGCTCTCTGGAAATTTCCAATGGCAGAGCAAGAAGCGCATGTCTCCTGCAAGGAGAATTAGAAACACCAGGTATCTAAGGAGAAAGCAGCTCCCACAGCGCTTGGCTCTCTTGTTCTGTGTGATCAGCCTGGGCAGTAGGCACTGTTTCCCCCATGTTACTGCTAAAGAAGATCGAGTCTCAGGGCAGAAAGAGCTCCATCGCTTACACAAGCAGGAATTCTCCAGGACCACATCTGCAGATCAGATGCCTTCACAAATCACAACAGCACTCACACTTCTTTTCTTAATATTCGCTGCACACACACAGGCTAGCTTTTTGAAGGCCTAAATATAGAACTAATTACTGGGTTCAGTGTTTATTCTAATTCACACAGGTTCATAAAGTCCACTTTACACAAAAAAAGGCTGATTCACATGAGTAAGAAAAAAAAGAGTTCATATTTACAATCTCTATAAACCTGCTGCAAATATTTAAGTGGAAAGATACAGTAACTTTATCTCAGTGTTTCACAGGCTGCGGGCTACACTGGTGAGGTTCAGAGAGAGCTGAGAAGTGAGGGCTGGAGAACTCTCTTGAGATAAAATATTCTAATTACTAAATGAACAGGGTATTCTGAGGATATTAGATTCAAATGGATTTTCCCGTGTTTGCAAAACCATTGGAGAATACACCATAAATGGAGCTTATTACATATTTACAGGACCAGATTAATGAATGCACACCCACAACAAAAGTACATTCACACACACACACACACACACACACACACACACAGTGAGCAAGAGAGAGAGAGAGAGAGAGAGAGAGAGAGAGAGAGATTAAGTTATGCCTTCATGCTTAAAATGGTCCTGCAATTGTTGACATTGACATTTCTAGGGGCAAAGGCACTGCATTCCCTGTGCCCAGTTTGTACTACCAGGCCAACAAGCTGCTTAACTGCCAGCATCCCCTCCTTGTCCTGTCCAGCACCCCTTCCTTGTCCTGTCTAAGCCATGCATTCAGAGGAAGATAAGAACAGGCATGGGTCCCATCCTGAAAAGCAACAACTATAGGAACGCAGAGGGTTTGAAGAAGAAGTCAGCTCTGGTGCCCGTCAACCACCAGAACCTACTGAAAATGACCTGCAGGAATGAGATTTGTATGAGCAGGATGTACGTCTAGACGCCCTTTTATGTCTTTTCTCTGTGGTGGCCTCCTGTTCTCATCTCCAGCCTTGGGGCTTCCCTCACCTCTTCTTTTTCTCTCTCTACCACCCCTTCCACTTCCACTTAGGAACTCGGATGTGGAGAAGGCAATTCACAGCTTGTTATGAAGGAAACGAGAGACTGGCTAGATGGTAAGCAATAAGGAGATGTCGAAAGCACAGCACACAAAGGGACAGGGTGTTGCCTTGAGGACTCCTGGCTCCATTGGCCGACTCATTTTGCATGGGTTCAGAAGTTGATCCCCCCTCGATTTTGGAAGATGGCAACTTTTCCAACCTCCTTAAATAGGTAACTTATGGAAGTGACCCAGGTTATGAGGACGTCAGATTTCCTGTAACCAAGCCTCCCTGGCTACAAAAGAAGGAAGGTACCCAGAGGTGTTACTTGTTCCACGCCCAAGGGAGTGTGGACACCGTTACAGGCAAGACACAGGGGCCTGAGACCCCAAGCATACAGAAACTTCATGTCCATTCCACAGCAGCCTCAGTAAAGAACTGACTGACTTACATTAGTATTCACTCTGCAGGTTCTGATAATGCAGAGCCCACAGCAATCCATTGCCCCACACCCAAGAACTGAAGGATTAAGAAACAAAGTCACCACCTCCGAATCCTATGCAAGAGCAGCAACAGCAAACCTGCAATCAACTACAAATACAAGGGGACGATAGAGCTTTCCTCTAAACCAAGCAAGGATGCTGGAGTGCGCCAGAAGATAACTGTACAGACACAGAGGCAGATGTTAACATAGACACACTAATGCAGGCCAAGAGTGGCTAAGGCCTTGTACATAGTCCCATTACTAGTTTCAAAAATCTTGACTCAAGCTTCTTCCATGATGGCAGATAACTTACTCATTGTCCCAAAGAGTTCAGGAACGTGACTAGACGTTTCCAATCTCCAGTTTTGTTCAGCATGAGAGTTAGGTAGTAGTATTACATGTCTAATCTTTGGAGCTTTTTTTTCACTGTTTAAAAGCAAATATCCTTGAGGAAGTAAGGCCTTAATCCAGGGTTGATAAATGGGTTTTACCTAAGGTACTAACTTCGATCAGTTGATAATGGCTGCCTAGAGCATTCTACTGAGAAAGCTTATTAAGCTGCTCCCCTGGTGATATTCAAAATGTTTAAAAATCCACCATTCAACACAAATACCAACTGTACTGCTGGAGCAACTACTTCAGTCAGTCTCCCTAACCCTCACCCTTTGGATTATTGAGCTCCCTATTGATTTGAGGTTTTAAGTCTCTAGTTGCTAGTCATCAGGGGAGGTCTTGGCAGGGGACTTAAGACCCTGGCTCTTTACTAACTGACAAACCACCTTTCTGTGTGCTGAGTGCAAGCTCCAGCTGTCCCTGGGATTCACAAGAAGAGGTCAACAATGCGTGAGCACTGCCTGCCTTAAGTGGAGGACAAACAATAGAACAGTTCCATGCTGAGTATTCAAGAGGCTCCAACATGGCAGCCACCATGTATCTGGAGTTGAAGAAGGCCTTCACAGGCTGCCTCCAAGCCAAAGACACTCAACAGAAAGTGAGGCTTGCAGGCAAACAGACTGAGCAGCTAAACAGAACGAAAAGGCATGCGTACCTTGCAGACACAGATATTATGACACTGATAGAGGAGACTGATATGTATGAAGACCTAGGAAGAATGTTTATTCTACAATCCAAGGACCTAACTCACAACCACCTGTTAGAAAAACAAGAAACAGCCCAAGAAAACATTAAGGAGCTGGAGCAGAAAAGGTCCTATCTGGATGGGAGTATAAGGGTGCTGAGAACAACATCTGAGAGATACGGATGCCGTGAAGGCACAGTGGGAGCTTCTGACAACATGCTCCCCTCCTGACCATTTCCATCCTGTCAAGCACAGGCTGTGCAGGGTTTTGACCCCCCGCCCCTCAGCCCCTCAGCCTCTTCATCCCCCTGAGCCACCTCCGAGCCTCACCTGAATGTCTGCAGGAGCTCTCAACAGAGGGAAGACTGGAGGTCCAAGCCTGTCACTAGGCATGTGGGTTAGACAATAAATGGCTATGTGTTGCTCTATAAGAAAAAAGTATCTAATAACTAATGAATTAAGCAAGAACCAATACTAACCCTTTGCCAATGCTTCCAAAAATATATAAAAAAGAGGGAATACTTCCAAACTCATTGTATGAGACTAGTGTTACTCTGATACTAGAGCCTCAGACAAAGATGCTAGCAACAACAAAAACAGACAGATGTAGTCCAATAGTCTTAGTGAACAAAGATGTAGAACTTATCCAAAAATACTATTAAATTGAATTAAAAAGCACAGTAAAAGGATCACTTGCCCTGATCAAATATGATATCCCAGAAATATACAGTTGGTTTCATATATGCAATTCCATAAATGTGATACATCATATGAACAAAAATGAAAGGCAAAATAAATACATCATCTCTAATAGAAGCAGGGAAAACATGACAAAATTCATTATCCTTTCATGATAAAAAACTCTTTGTAAGTTAAGTACAGGAGGGTGTATCAAGACCACATATAGCCTATAGCTAATATGAGCAATACTAAAAGTTGAAAGTCTTTCCTCTAAGGTTAGTAACAAGATGATGCCAAGTCTTATCATTTTTATTAAACATAAGAAGTACTAGAGATTCTAGTCAATGTAACTAGGCATGGAAAAGAAATAAAAGTCATCTAAACTAGAATGGGAGAAATTCATCCATGTGTGCAGATGTATGGAAACCCCTAAAGTTTATTCTCTCTCTCTCTCTCTCTCTCTCTCTCTCTCTCTCTCTCTCTCTCTCTCTCTCTCTCTCTTTCATTATAGAATACAAAATGTAATTGATATCAGCAACACTTGAAGAATGCACTGTTCAAAACAGTTGAACTCAGAATAGAGTGTAGAATCGTAGACATCAGAGACTAGGGAAAGGGGCCATATTAGGAACATAGTGATCAGCAGAATTTTAGTTAGATAGAAAGAAATAATATGCTCAAGAGATGTATTGTAAGTTATGCTGACTTTGGTTAGTAACTCTATATTGCATTCTTTAGAACATCTACCGTGTGTGTTTGTGTTTGTGTGTGTGTGTGTGTGTGTGTGTGTGTGTGTGTGTGTGTGTGTGTGTGCATCAGTATGTGCCTGGAGCTTGCATGTCAGGGCACATATGAGGAAGTCTGAGGACAACTTGTGGGAGTCAATTCTCTCTTACCCATGTGGATTCTGGGAATCTGAACTCAGGTCTTCAGACTTGGAGAGAAGTTCATTACCCACTGAGTCATCTTTCCAGCCCCCATATATTGTATTTTAATTAATTAGTTTCCTCAACCCAATCACATTTTCCCTTCCCTCCCTCCTCTCCTCCCAATGACCTCCTCTCTTCAGTACCCCCACCACCCTCCACTCCTCCTTTCTCTTAAAAAAATGGTGGGCCTCCCATGTATATCAGCCAGCCGTGGTCTACCAAGTTGCAGTAATACAAGTCACCTCCTGTCTTATTAAGGCTGGCAAAGCAACTCAGCAGGAGAAAAGGGTCCCAAAAGCAGGTAACAGAGTCAGAGGCAGCCCCTGCTCCCACTGTTAGGAGCTCCACAAGAAGACCAAGCTATACATTTGTAACATGTGCAGAGGGTCTAGATCTCTCTGGCTGGTAGTTCAGTCTCTTTGAGACTTCCAGTGGAGAGATTAGGACATCATTCCGGCCAGATAACTTTTGACCTACAATTTTCCCTGCCTACAAGATATGTTGGGGTAACAGTGGCACAGAAATTACAGAAGAGGCCAACCAATGACTGGCTTAGCTTGAAACTCACACCATAAGAGGGAGCCTACCCCTGGCACTGCTTACAGGGCCAGGACCCAGAGGCTGGGCAGTCCAGAGACCTAGGATAGAATCAAATATGACTGGCAAAAAAGGTCAATGAAATGACTCCTAATGATATGGCTATACTCGTAGATTGGTGTCTAATTCAACTGTCATCCAAGAGGTTCTACCCAGCAACCGATGGAAACAGATGCATTGACCCACAACCAAAAATTAGGCAGATCTGTAAAAGAGGGGGAGGAAGGATCATAGGAGCTAGGGGGGTCACAGACACCACGAGAAAACCCACAGAATCAACTAACTTGGGTTCATAGGGGCTCACAGAGATGGAACCATATATTGTATTCTTAAAAATCACCAACAGAGTAGACTCTGTGTTTTCTTCACCAAAAAAATGAGTGTATGAAGTAACATGTATATTAGTCAGCCACCCCAATTTAAAATTTCAAAATATATTACACCTGATAAACACAAGTTTATTCTTCAGGAATAAATATTTTTTAAAACTTTAAAAATCTTGGATGGTGAAATGAATATATGTGAAATGAATTTCTCAGAATAAGAATGAAACAAAATTACTGAGCATACTTAGATTCCCCAGATAAAAGATGGGTAAAGATAACTAATTTTTCTTAATAAAGTGCTGCATAAAATAATTTTGACATCAGTTGGCAGGAGGTGTCTTTTCCAATTAAGTGGATCCAAAATCTTGGAAAAGCATATGCCTTTCCAGGCAGCAAAGCCACAATAGAAAAAGGAGCAAGATGATCAGGCAAAATGGACATATCTAGATTAAACCAGGGCATGAATTCCTCCTCCTCAGGTCAGGTAGTGGGACCCTGGCCAGCTGCCAGCTCCCGGGGCTTCTCTTCAGGGTGGACACTGCCATCCTGTGATATCTGAGCAGTCCCCACGTGGTCTGTGTGTGACTGTGCTGTAGCAAGGGAAGATGCTGCTTCCTCCTCTTGCCTGATAATGACATCATTTAGCTTGTGGGTTCCTTTGGTTGGCTTTTGTTTTATATGCTACAGGAGTTCTCAATCAGCCATGTCCATCCACCATCTGCTGGGGAAAATGATGGCACTTAGGAAAGGCAGCCACATGGCATCCTTTCTTTTCAGAACCAAGAGGAGAGGATGGCCTGGCCTGTGGATGGTTGTCACTGCTTTTCAACTGGGGACAGAGGTGAGTAGAGCCTGACTTTCACCAATTAGAGAAGAGATGATCTCAAGCTGGGAAGAGAGATCACTGGGAAAGAGCTCACTATACAAGCTGGAGGACCTCAGTTTGAACCCCCAGAACCCACATAAAGATCCAGGAATAGTGGTGTGTTCTAATAATTCCAAGACACAATTCAAACACAGGCAGATCTTTGCCACTGAGTGGCTCTATTAGTTCCCTTTATGCTTTGGTGATAAAAAGCCATTACTAAAAGCAACCTATAAGAGAGTTTATTTGGGCTTATGATTTCAGGAGGCTGAGTCCATTGCACACAGGAGACATGGAAGCAGGATCAGGAAGCCAAGAGCTCACACACTCAATCTCAAGCATGATGCAGAAGGAGAAAAGTGGGAGAAGCGTTAGGCTTTAAACTCTCAAAGCCCACTTCCAGAGATGTACTTCCTCCAGCACCCTGCACCTCCCCATACTTCTCTATCTGGGCACCAAGTGTTCAAGTGCCAGAGCCTATGGGATTTACTTCTCATTCAAACAAACACACCAGCCTAGTGTACTCTGTGACTCCAAAGACAGTGAGAAGATGATAAAAACAAGGAGGGTACCTGAGGAATGACATCTACTGTTAACCTCTGGATTCTGCACACACAAGCGTGTGATGGGCACCTATATACACAGATTTGCACATGCACACTCACACACTCACACACGCATACACACACATACACACACACACACAGAGAGAAAGAAAGAGAGAGAGAGAGAGAGAGAGAGCCTTCACCTCTAGTTCCCTAGGATCCCTCTTGCTGATCTCTGCCAGGTACACCCAAAGGCATCTCACTCAGCGCCCCCCCCCCATTAGCATCAGCCTTGCCAGAGCCTGGACCAACACCTCAGCTGTTCTCACAAGAGTCACAGTGGGGGTGGCAGCCCTGATGGTGTGCTTAGGCCCAATAAATGATCCAAGTTCCCAGACTCTGCTTTCCAGATTCATTAACAAATGTTCCATGGAAGAATCCTGCCTCAATGGAATAAAACTGAGTGATTCCACTACTGAGTATTTAGGCAGGAGGAGAACAGACAGACATACAAGCACTTGTGCACAAACATTCAAAGTCTTTTGTTCTGAGTCACTGAAAGCTGGAAGCAACTTAAAGTTCCATCACGTGGTGATCAGATCCACGGTGTACATCCATTCAAGGGAATAGTACTCAGCAGTTAAAAGGGACAAACTTCCAATCCACCATGAATGAACCTCATAAGACATGGTTAAAGGAAAGAAACCAGAGTTGTGGGAGACCACATATTGTAGGATTCCATTCTTGTGAAGTTCTTGCAAATGTACTGTCTACGGGGTGATGGCTTCAGGAGGTTGGGTGACAAGACAGAGTATTTATTGGTTACAAAGAGTTATGAGTAAACTCTGAGGCTGAAAGAAATGCCCTTTACCTCAGTGGTGATATTGGTTCCACGAGTACGTACATTTGTCAAAATTTATTAAGCATCACTCTTTAAAAAGTAAATATTATTGTTTATAAATCATACATATTATTTTTGTATCAAACATGTTTCCAGACTGAATGCACAGAACTTTCAGAACCATGCAAAGCAAAGTGCTGTGGGTTTCATTTACTAGTGCCTTTGTGCATTTCAAATTTTAAGGAGTTATGACATTCAAGATCTTCCAAGTTCACCTGATAAGGGACTTGATACTTTTTAATTGTCAGAGCATCCATTAGAATCTTGAGGAAACAGACAGAGAGCATTGCCTTAGAGAATCACCAGCCTGGATACAGCAATGCCCCCATCAGCAAATTTAAAACTGAACACACTCGAGGGAGGAAACAGGCTGAATCTGCTATCTTC